GAGCACAACACTTACACTGTGGAAGCTACAAAACATTGAAAGCAATCGGAGAAGACCTAAATAGATGGAAGGCATTTTCCATGTGTGGATTGGAAGATGGCATTGTTGAGATGACTGTATTTCCCAGATCTACACGGTCAACACAATCCCATCAAAATCCCAGCTGGCTTCTTTGCATAAGTTGACAAGCCAATCCCAAAGTTAATAAGGAATTTTAAGAGACCTAAAATAGCCCAATTTTAATAATTGTTACAAATCAAGCCAGTTTAGTACTGCCATAAGGATAAACATAGATCAGTGAGATAGAATTGAGAGTTCAGAAAAAAACCCATACAGTTATGGCCACTTGATCTTTGACAAGGGTGCCAAGACAAGTAAATGGGGGAAGAACAGTCTTTCCAGCAAATGAAACTGGTACAACCGGATATCCACACCCAAAAACTAAAGTTGGGTCCCCTGGCTCGAAACCCTAAATGTAAGAGTGTAAAACTATGAAATCTTTAGAAAACAACATAGGCACAAATCTTTATGACCTTGGTTAGCAAATAGTTTCTTGAGTACGGTGCCAAAAGCATAAGCAACAAAAGAAAAAGACATAAATTGGGCTTTGTCAAAATTAAAAACTTTTATGCTTCAAAGAATACAAAAAACCCCTCACAGAATAGGGGAAAATATTTGTAAATCATATATTAATAAGGGACATGTATTCAAAAATATAAAGAACTCTTAAAACTCAGTAGTAAACAGACAACCCACTAAAAAGTGGGCAAAGGATCTGAGTAGACATTTTTCCAAAGAAGATGTCCATTGCAATGGCCAATAGGCATATGAAAAGATGTTCCAACACCATTACCCGCCAGGGAAATGCAGATTAAAATCAAACCACAGTGAAATTTAAGAAACAAAACAAATGAGCACAGGGGAAAAAAGGAGAGAGGCAAACCGAGAAGACAGACTCTTAACTATAGAGAACAAACTGATGGTTACCGGAGGGGAGGTGGGTGGGGGGAGGGGTGAAATAGGTCATGGGGATTAAGAAGTGCACCTGTTGTGATAAGTACCAGGTGTTGTATAGAAGTGTTGACTCACTATATTGTACACCTGAAACTAATACTACACTTTGTGTTAGCTGGAATTTAAATAAAAACTTAAAAATCAAACCACAGTGAGATACCACTTCACACTCATAAGATAGCTACAATAAAAAAACATAGAAAGTGTCGGCTGCCATGTGTATACATTGGAACCCTCACATACTGCTGGTGGGAATGTAAAATGGTGCTGCCACCTTAGAAAACAGTCTGGTGGTTGCTCAAAAGATTAAACACAGAGTTAATCATATAGTCTAGCAATTCTGCTCTTACCCAAGAGAAGTGAAAACATGTCCACACAAAGACAGGTACATGAATGTTTATAGCAGCATTACTCAGAGTGGAAATAACCCAGATGCCCATCAACTGATTACTTGATAAAATGTGACATATACATGTAATGGAATATTTGACAATAGAAAGAAAGCACTGAAAGATGCTAAAAATAGACTAACCTTGAAAACATATGCAAGTGTAAGAAGCAGTCACAAAAGATCACATATCGTATGATTCCATTTATATGAAATGTCCAGAATAGGCAAATCTGTAGAGACAGAAAACAGTGGTTTTCTGGGGCTTCAGGGTTGGAGAGGGACTGCTCAATGTGTGTGGGTTATCTTTTGGAGGATGGTTGCCATGTTCTAAACTTGATCGTGGTGATGGTTGCACAATTCTGTGAATCTACTGAAAACTACTAAATTACTCACTTTGAACTATATGTGAATTACATCTCAATAAAGCTGTAAAAAATGGATTTTATCACCTCTGCAAAGTCACAGAAGTTCTCCAAAATTTCCTTTAGACCTCACACATTTAGGTAGACTCTCTACTACTTATTTCCTAGTTGGTCCAATTACAGTTCTTTAATGCATATGCTATTGCTAATACATAATTTAGAAATAGAAAGCTTGCTTTTACCTTGTGTTGTGTTTTTCACTGTCTCCTCCCCAGAGTTCCAGGCTTGGCATACTGCAGAAGTAAGAATAATCTTGTTCTGACTTGCAAGCTGATTGTTAGTTTAAGAACATCTGACAGTGAAACCTCACTCTTGAAACCTAGTGACAAACAGAACTGGAGGTGACACAGCAAATATGCAAAGTCCATCCACGAAAGCTCCTTCCCTTTATTCACTGGAAAGCCATCATGCCCCTCAGCCCATTTGCTCTTCATTTTACATAGTGTCCTAATAAGGGTACCGCTGATTGCAAAGTCCCTACAAGGATAGAAGCATCAGGTTAGGACGGGTGAATTGTGTGCGCCCCCCCCCCCTTTCCCCAAGTTCGTAAGTTGGAGCCCTGACCCCCAATGTGATGATCTTTGCAGCTGGGGTCTTGGGATATAATTAGGTTTAGATGAGGTCATGAGGCCCTCATGATGGATTCGTGCCCCTAGAAGAAGAGGCACTAGGGAGCTTGCCCCCCACCCTGCCCCATCTAAGGCCACATTGAAAATGTGGTGGCTGTACATGCAGAAGAGAACTTTCGGCGGAAACAGACCATGCTGGCATCTCGGTCTTGAGCTTCTCGAGAACTGAGAAAATAGATTTCTGTTGAAGCTGTGGTATTTTGCTATGGCAGCCCGAGCTGACTGAGACTTGGGAAAAGAGGGGAGTTCTTAAGCCTAACGATGAGGGAGGAAACAATGAGGAAAGGGGCATGTGCTGGCTGTTCAAATTCTGTGCAGTGGAGGGAAAATAATGTAGGCTCCCATAGACGATAGGCCACAGCACAGTTCATGAAGTGATCTTCAGAATAGTGACCCCAGTTCATCAAGCAAGGGTCCGGTTGTTTCCTGTTGAAGGTGGTAAAAACTTTTAAATCTGTACAAGAAAAATTTCCACCCAAAATAATTCACGTTATTCACTTTTGGAAAGTTGAACTGTTTTCTGCTATTCAAAATGACTCACTCCTCCTCATTTCCAGATGCCTTTTTAAGTTGTTACTGTAGTTCTTATTTTTCAAAGCAAAGAGGGTGAAGGTAGATTTTTTTTTACTTTCCTTGTCCTAAAATTATATTGGACACAGGACCTAAGACTTGTGTCTTCTTTCAGCTGGGGAGGAATGATTTCCAGCTTTTCTAGGTGTTCTCCAGGGGTTGGAGGGAGGCTTGCCAGGTGCTTTGCTAAGGTTAGGTTTACGGTGTGAGTCCTATCGTAAATGGGCTGTGGGCCTTTGCCTCTCAGTTATTCTAATAGTAAATATAGGAAGCTAATTGTAGCCCACTCTAGGACTCAGAGACTCCCTCTCTGTTTTCAGCCTTTCCCTATCTCGGTTAGGCTTTGGAATGAAAGAGCCGGCGGGCACCAGGGATTAGAGCTGTTGACCTGGTTTGTGCCATGCTGTCCTTCAGAGATGATCCTCTCCAGCATCTCCTTTTACTACCAGCGAGGCCCCCTTTATTATTCTGAAATGAACTTAGATTATAGGACCTGCCTGTTCGTGTAATTTTTAAAAACTGCGTTATTTCTGTTCTGTGGGCACAAATGAACGGATTACCTAGTTTCTAAAACACCTAAGCACTCAAGCCTTGGCAAACTTAGAAATCAAAAAACAGAAGCCACCTCTACCAGTGTCTGTCGCCCTCCCAAGGGGGCAGTAAGGTTGTGGCCATCCTGCTGTGTCCCTCTTGAGAAACAGCGCTTGGGGGCCAGCGGGGTGGCCCATGTGCTGCTAACCCCGGTGTTTGTTTGTAAGTGGTGGTTACCGTCCGACTCTTTCACTTCCGACACCGTGCTCCCACTCCGGACGTCCCGGGCATGGAGACAGAGTGCGGAGAGGCCTGCGCTGGGAGTCCGCACACCAGGAGCTCCGTTCTGGTGTGGACACTGGTTTGTTCGGTGAGCTCCATTAAGTCACTTTGGGACAACAGAAGGGGCAGCAGTAGTAGGTCTTCTTAGCTATTCATCAGGTCAGATGCCCTCTTCAGAAGGATTCTTGTAAAACACTGGTAGCACTTACTGGCATGCAGATTGTTTCATAAAGTAGAGAAGGGTCCAGCTTCTACCACAGCTCTGTCTGGGAAGGATGTTTGTCTCAGTGCCTTTGGAAAGCCTTTAACTTAAAGGCAGCAATCTAATCTATTGGTGCCTTTTTTTCACGTGTTTATTACTTTATTTAAGACTTTCTAGGAGCTCCTGAGTGGTTCAGTCGGTTGGCATCTGCTTTTGGCTCAAGTCATGGTCCTGGATTCCCAGGATGGAGCCCCACATCCGGCTCTGCTTCTCCCTCTCCCTCTGTTTCTCTGCCCTGCTTGTACTCTTCTCTAACTCTGAATAAAATCTTAAAAATAAATAAATAAATAAATAAATAAATAAACAAACTTTCTAAATGGGGGCGCCTGGGTGGCTCAGTTGTTAAGCTTCTGCCTTTGGCTCAGATCATGATCCCAGGGTCCTGGGCACCCGGCTCCCTGCTCAGCGGGAAGCCTGCTTCTCCTTCTCCCACTCCCCCTGCTTGTGTTCTCTGTCTCTCACTGTCAAATAAATAAATAAAATCTTAAAAAAATAATAAAAAGACTTTCTAAATGGTAGAACCAAGGTCACATAGAACTGAGACATAATTGTGGCATAAAGAAGTCACAGGCTTTAGAGAAGCAAAGCGATGAAACAGGTGACCTAGAATAGGCGATGTGGATGGAGTAGGACGGGGGAAAGAATTTTTTTTTTTAAGGTGTTCTGTAAAGGAAGTGATGTTGGGGCTGAGCCTTAAAGCTGGAGTGGAAGAGGAGGAAAAGGCACTCCTCCAGCAGAGGGGCCTGGTCCCAAGCGGGAAGGGTAGAACTTATCCTTTTTGTTTGGACTGTGAACCCTCAAGGGTTAGGTTTTGATGGAATTTAAAATAAATTCCTGGGTAATAATTGTAGGTTGAAAGCCCGTTAATTTGTTTCAGACTCTTGAACCCTGTTTTCCAGGAACCCGAATCATTTATGATCGAAAGTTTCTGTTGGATCGTCGCAATTCTCCCATGGCTCAGACCCCGCCCTGCCATCTGCCCAATATCCCAGGGGTCACCAGCCCTGGCACCTTAATTGAAGACTCCAAAGTAGAAGTAAACAATTTGAATAACTTGAACAATCATGACAGGAAGCATGCAGTTGGTAAGTGTTTGGGGGGCCGAGTGGGTAGCCCTGGGAATTCCAGTGTCAGTCGGCTACAGGTTGAATATTGATTCCTCAGTTATAAGCAACATTCATGTATAGGTCTCTAAGATTCCCGGCAGCTCCCATCACCAAGGTTTACTGAAATGTTCTGGAAACCCTAGGTTCTAAATCTTAGGTGAATCTAATCCGGGAATAGGGAGAAATCCAAACTCAGGGCATAGGAAATTCTTAGATTAGTCCTTGAGCCAGCCTTCAAGTCCTTTCCAGCCTGGGCGGTACTGAACTGGGAGTAACACACAGAACAACTGAACAGGCCTCATTTCCATTGCCCTTCAGAAATAGACCTCTTTCTTACAAGAAGAATGTCCTTTTTGTGGTGCAGGGGGAAATAGGGTTTGTTTCCCCATTTTCCAGGACTGCCTATGATACACACACATACCCTCTCTCTGTCTGTCTGTCTCTGTGTCACACACTGAGTAATGAGCCACTCTGTTTCCGTGGAAGCAGAAGAGGGAGGTGGAAGAGGCTGGCTCCTGAGGTATGCCTCGGGTCGTACCCCCCGACCTCTGTGCAGGAGCCAGTGTTCTGCCTTCTCAAATTCCAAATGAGCTTTGCATGGACAAAGTGTTGATTGAGAGCAGGGCTGAAGTTCAGAGCCTCCAGAAGAGTTTGCCAGCATGATAGATGCAAGGAGCTCCCAGTGGGGTCGCCTGCAGCCAGAGGGATGCTGGGCGGGTTTTCACTTAGATCTTCTTTCCCGGATCCTACTCCTTGCGGGTTGAGTGCCATTCTTTTTTCCACATTAAAAAGACGAGCCAAAGCAAACACATAATTGTTCTAAGGCAGCAGGGAACGGGAGAGTTTGGATCCGTTTTTGACCCTCCAGCGGAAGAATGACAGAGCTGCTTGGCCTTGGCTTTTGTTCTAAACTGTGTCTTGATTCTTCCTAGGGGATGATGCTCAGTTCGAGATGGACATCTGACCGCCTGCAGGAGCCGCAGGAGAGCAGCGGCGCCGAGGTCGGGCGCACCGGATTGGGCCCATCAGATCAACAACGAACGGACAGAAGGGGCAGCCAGCAGTCCCATTGCAGCCCCCAAGTCCACCTCTTCCTTGCTCTGGGTGCCAAATGATGCGCAGATGAGCTTCATCTGACCGTTTCCTCTCCCTCTTTCCTGTCCCCCTTCCCAGTTACACAGATTCCATCCAAGGTCCTTGGCATATTTCCGTAGACCTAAGCAGCCCACAGAGGAAAACAGTTAAACGCTGGCTTCCATAGTCATTTGAGAAAGACAGTTGAGAAAACCTAGCCTCCCCACACTCCCTCCACCCCACCCCCCCTTTTTTAAAATCCCATATCAAATGTCAACCTGCCCACAGTTGCTTGGCTGGGAAGTCTGGGGAAGTGACACGGGTGTGGTGGGTTCGGCACTGTCCACGTCCTGACCCCCCGCCTGCCCTCCCTGTCTCCCCTCTGTGGTTCAGAGCTGCAGGAGTCTGGGTCTCAGGTCTTCACAGCCGTCAGAGGGGGTGAGAATGGCGAGAGCCACTCTCCTCGTCCCTCGAGACATTTGCCCTTCGGGTCAGAGTGTGGTTTGTACAACTCTGCTGGCATCACCCTGCCACGCTTTCTGAGACCCGCTTCGGCCCGCCTCCCCTCCTTCCTCCGGCACGAATGTCTTCTGTCTTTAATGTTCGAGTGCCGCTTCCTGTCCTTCACGGAGCACATCTGTGCAGAAAAGTGTGGGCCCCACCTGAGGGGGGAGTCCTCGGGAAGCAGCAGAGCTCTCCTCTCCTCCCTCCCTGCTAGCGTCCCGCTGCCCGCTGTCCCCTTGTATCTGAGCCCCCTGGGTGATTCTGCCGCTCCTGCAATGGGCCTGTCCAAGCGATGGGCGCTTTGGGGGCGCCTGGTCATAGCGGTCTGCTGGGTGATCCTGCAGAATGACCTGGGGAGCGTGCTGAACCGGGTGGGTACTCGGCCTCAGCAGTCCTTGCTTCCTCGTCCCCCGAGCTTCGAGATACTCGCGGTCTCTGGCCGCAGGGTCTTATATTTTGAGTTTAAAAGATGACTTTCAGAATGCTCTTGGAAGAGAGCCCAACTTTTTTCCTTTGTGGACCTGCCGAGACTGCTGGGATGGAGAAGCACTGGCTCGAAAGTGGGTTCTCCCCATTCTCTTGCCTTCCCCGTCGTACTCAGAGTTGTCCCTCTCCCTCCCTCCGCCTGCCCCTCCCTCCCACCTCTCTCTCTGCCAGGCCATTTTTCAAGTACACATCAAAGGTACCTCAAGCGTTGGTATCTGATAATATCTCACTCCTCTTATCTGAGGAGTGATCTTTTATTTTTAAGATGACTACAGACCTATTTTTAGATATGTTTTCAATACGATTTTGAGCAGCAACTTTTTAATTACACATCTTCGGTGTTAGGAAGGTGAGAAATGTCCACGGGCGAGTCTGCTGTTCCATGTCACCATCCTTTGTCCCCCCCCCGAGTCCCTGACGAGCTCTTTGCTTCTCCCTCTAGTTTTGGGTGTGCATGTCTGCAGTTTGTAGCGGGTGGTGTGTCAAACTGGACCATTCTGCCTTGCCGTGGCTTGTTCACCAGAACCTCGTTCTTTCCCCTTCCCCTTTGCTTTTTCATGTCCCCACCACCACCCTCCCGACCGTTGACTGGTACAGTAATCCCGGGAGAGTGACACCCCCCCCGCCCCCCCTGTAGAAAGACTAACACCTCTGTCCTCCTGGAACGACAAGTAAAGTAGCCGCTGGTGTTCTGGGAATTTCTGGTCGCATTCGGTGCCCTGAACCCTCTCGTTGAGAGACCACATCCCAGGGTGATAGTAACAGGCCAGCCGACTAAGAAAGCAAGCTGTTTGTTTTTCTTTTGAACTATGAAAAGACCCTGTTTATGAACACCTTTTAGACAGAAGAAAGGAAGGCTGTCCAGGGAACTTTGTTCTGTTTTCTACTACAAAATGTGAGTAGTTCAGAGTGACCCTTTTGTGATGGTTGATGTTTCTCAGGAATAAGCTGGATCTCCAAAATTTGGGGGATGTTTTCAGTCTCAAAAATTGATGATCAAAAAAAAGTATTTTCTTGTTGGTTTCATGTATCCCTATTCTGATTGTAATTAAACTCCCAAATTTCACTTTCCATACTCTCGGGAAACCTTCAGTTGCACCGTCATTTGCGTGAGAAGCTTGCTCAGGAACCCATAGTCCGCTGGGAGCTCGATTCTTTGGGAATGAAGCTTCTCGTCCTTCATAGCTGGCTTTGGCATTTCGCGGAACCCAGCTCCCAACTCCAGCTAGTCGGGCAGTGAGCAGAAAAGCGCTCCTTCTCGATCTTTCTTGCTACACATGAAAATCTGGCGGCCTCGCTGAGCAGCAGGGAGTGGATTTGAAACATGCCAGCTTCGGTAATGTCAAGTCATCGTTTCCCCCTTTTCTGCCATCTTGGGGAATTTCTGCACACGGCTCCCTAATCGGAGGTCATCTTTCTAGTTTTTGAGGGAATGTCAGCTGTATGTAGAGCAGCGGCCCACTCCTTCAGCCTTCTCTGTGAGGACATCCTTACTGGTTGGTGTCCTTTCCTGGAGGCCACTGCTGTGGGACGTACTTTGACCTCCACAAATCTGCATTTTAAAGATAGTTTCACAAGGCAGCAGATGAACTTGTAACAGACGACACCTTGGTACCAGGCCTCATGGAGTGATTTTTTTTTTTTCAGGGCAAGCCAGATCCAGAAGAATGAGTAATCTCTCCTGGCTTTCTCTTGGGGAAGGAGAACCCTTTGGGGACCATCTGAGTGAGATGGTTCTTAAAATCTTAGTGATCATTTGTTCTTTTTATGAAGAGGCCATGTTTCTGTACCCCTGAGGACAGTCCATCACAGTGAGAAATGACCTCGTTCTTCCAAATTCAAGCAGGAGACATGCATTGTCTTGGTCTGTCTTTACAGTGTAGTTTGCTGAGATCACCACGTCTTTGTATTCTGTTTAAATAGCTAAAGTTCTCCAGAGCACACTGTCTTGGCAGCTGGCTTCTTGGTATTGGGCTGTCAAGCCGAGAGGTTGTCATTCGTCTGTATTTGTTTTCTATTGCTGTGTAACAGATTACCCCCAAACTTTAAATCTTGAAAGGCAAACGTTTTCTGTCAGCTTCTGGAGGTTAGAAATGGGAAGCAGCTTAGCATGATGGCTCTGGCACAGGGTCACCGGAAGTGGCCGCCCAGATGTTGGCAGGGTTTGCAGTCATCTCACTGGGGCTGGAGAATCCCCTTTTGCGTGTGTTCTTTGTGGCTGTTGGCAGGATGCCTTCGATCTCTCCGTACAGGTCCCCTGTGTAGAGCAGCATGAGGGTCCTCACACCAGAGCAGCTGGCTACCCCTGAGCAGGGGACCCCAGGGAGAAGGGCAAGGAGGAGTCTGCAGTGCCTTTCATGACAGTTCTGTGGCCCTTGGAAGCAAGCTCCTATGCCTGGCCAACAGTGGTGCAGTATCTGAGAATGTGGGGGCTCTATCTTAAAACCAACGGGGTTTTAAGTCAGTCAGTCCAACGGGGGCGGGGGGGTAGGTAAAACTAGATACCACAGAGAGATAACTTGCTACTGCCATGTCCAAACTGAATAGAAGACAGACGCTCTCTTGTTTCCCCAAAGCCACCTGCAGGTTTGGAGAGCGGTGGCAAGAAATGACGATTCCCAAGAGAATGAAAAGAGCTCTACGTTTGCCTGGCTACCAGCAGGGCAAGGACGCCTTGGGCCAGCACCCCCATCTTTGCCTCTCCCTGGGCCAGGAACCAACAGAGGGAACCGGATCCTTCTCACTGAGCCACGAAAGCAGACTCCTTTGGAGTCAGGGTTGTTAAACCAAAGGAGGGTGTGTGAAGGAGGTGTTGGGTTAGCGGCCAAATAAAAGCTTCACGGTTGAGATTCAGAGGGAAGTGGATTGCCGCTGTGAGCCGTGCCCTTAGTCAAGTCGAGGTTGGCACCTGCTCTCTGCAGCCGTACCAGCCGAAACACGTTGAGGTCGAGGTCGGCTCTCTCCACCAGGAAGCCACTAATGCAATTCAGTAGGGAACATTTGGGAATTAGAAATGTCTGCTGCTGCTGCTTCATCTCGCCTCTAGATCCGGTGTGTGTCTTAACTGGGTACCCACCTCGGCCTGGGCTTCCTGACGGGTACGTGTTCTTAAAGAGAACTGGTCCGCGCTTCACCCATGAAAGAAACCTAGTAGACCCCAGTCAGTTGAACACTAAGTTTTAGGGAATATCTGCCAGGTGTCTGGCTCCCGTGCTGAACCACGTTTTAGAGACTTGAGATCGCTTCCAGACACACAGTCCTGTCTGGCTTTATGCTCTGCCTCTTCCCAGTGTGTTCTTCTCTGTAGCACTGCTTGGTTAAGCGTGAACTTGACCAAGAAGCATTGCTGCTGAGGCAGCCTGGAGAATAAGGCACTTCCCTCCACAAGTATGGACTCCTTCACACCACTTTCCCATGAATTGCCTTTTTCCTTCTGATTTTGAGGCAGAGTCAAAATAGATGGGTCTTTTGTTTTTTGTTGTTGTTTATGCTCCCAGCTCTTTGGGACCGTCTGACCTGGGTTCGGACGTCTGCAGTAGCACATAGCCTGCTGCCTGTGCGGGTTTCACCCCAGAGCCTTTTGTTCAGCCGCACACGCTGTGTGCCTGCGTGCAGTCAAGGCAGCTGGTAGTGCTGGAGCAGGATCCCAGAAATGGACTTTTTATTCATTCTCTGCTTCTTGGATATTCGATGGCGTGTCAAGCTTCTTGGCTGCTTGAAGCCAGGGCCCTGGGCCCTTGGAGTTCTCCTGCAGAGAGGTGGTCAGTCTGCTGCCTCTGCATCTGGGCCAGAGCTTGCCTGTCTCGGCATGTCTCTAGACTTAGAATAGCAGCTGTGTATTAATCTGCGAAACCCAATCACTTACCCACCCGTGGCATCTGGGCACGGGTAATCATTTTAAAGAAGCATGGTTTCTTTGGCAGGGCAGTTTTCTGTCCGGACTTTGAAAGGGGTGTGGTTAACCACACACCCCCCATCCCCGTGTCCTTACCTCAGCTTTTAATAAAGGATGAAATCAGATCTTGAAGCAACCGGGTCACAATTCTTTTGAATGCTTCCACCCCAGGGGCATTTCCTGTTCTAGTAAGGATTTTCCAGTTTAGCACTGAGGTTTCCTTGAGGCTAGCTCAGGAATTTCTTAGGAAAGCCTTGAAGGAGAGGGATGCAAACTGATTTTTTTCAAGCATTCATTCGTGTCACCTTTCCCACCCCCGGAATTTAAATCTCTTTCTCTGGGCTGGTCCTAGAAATGAATACCTTGTGGCAAAACTAGGTTGAAGAGGTCTCAAGTTCCTGGTTAGAGGGCCTGTGGTTTCTCTTCGCTTAACCTCTGCCTGCAGCCCTGACCGGCCATGCAGTGTGGATGGCCAGGGGGAAATGAAACGCATTTCCTGGGGTATTAAATTCTTTGCCACCTTTGTAAGAGTGGGGCACTGACAGATGCTGCAGTGTTTGATCATCATGTGGCTGTGCTGAAATTTCCAGAGGGGGCTCTTGCTGGTGCTTACTCCCCAAATTCCTGGACACTTCTAACTCAGAGAGTTCAATGAATATAGCACAGAACAGCCAGTCTTGCCCCTGGTGTAGCCCCTTCCTCTCCATCTTAATCTTTTAAAAACAAAAAACCAAGTCCAGGCCAAGGGTAATTTTTACTTGAAACCAGGAGGGTTGGGGAGGAACATGAGCTAAGGACCGGTGCTCCGAGTAAGCCATCTTGCTCCTGGTGGCCGGTTCCAGATCACTGAGTACTGT